AGAAAAGCAAAACAAACAGGTATAGATTGAGAATGTATGTTGACTTCGCTTGTTCATGAAGACATGTTGAGAAGCTGTTGTAATCTCTGTGGGATTGACTACCTCCTGTGAAGTCACCTGATAGTCATTAAGCCCATCTTCTCTCAGGAGGTGAGGAAATATGCTTTGACCTACTTAGGTTACATAGAAAGGAAAGTTTATATATTCTTGCAACATTACCACAGGCAGTAGCCTGTGCTTTCCCACCAATTATTCTTTTCCTATTAAAAAATATCTTTAGCTAGTTGTACAAAGGAGGTGCCATGTAACAAAGCAGATTATGAATACATCGCTTCTGGTTCAGTGTCATCCCTCTCAACATTCTTACCCTCCATTGATCCACCCCTTCTCTTATTATTGTTTTTTTTAATCTTGTGGTATATACAATGAATTCTTGACTGCGTTCTCGCTTTCCTACTTCAGTGGTCTACCCTTCTCCCCTTGGCCCTGGCCCTTATTGGATGTATCCATTTCCTGGTGTTGATTTTGGTGGACTTTGACCTAGTCTATTATACTCGAGCTAATTCATTTGTAACCATTTTCATAAGGCCTGACCCAGTGGGTTTACTCAGATTTTTCTTCAGAGAGAGCTTGAGTTTAGTTTTGCGAAAGTCCAATCAAGCTTCATGCAATCGTGGTTCTTTGCTCTTTTATTTCTTTTTCTTTTTGGTTGGTCCTGGGGCTTGAACTCAGCCTGGGCTCTGTCCCTGAGCTTCATTTGTTCAAGGCTAGCACTCTACCACTTGAGCCACAGCACCACTTCAGAAACAGAAATTTCTCTTACCCTGTGCCGGTGAAAAGTCCCACATCCCCTCCTCCACTTTCCCCCTGTCTTCATGCTTGAGCTCAGGATCCATGCATGAAAGTACCGCAGCCATGGTGGGCTTGCCCCTTCTCTAGAGGGGCCTGCTAGGGTTGGAGAGGAAAAGGAAGAGCTGAGAGCTGGGCTGGGACCTGCTGCTCCTGTCCTGCCAATTTGCTTATCTAGCTATGTCAGGAGACCAGCCCTGCTTAAATCTTCCTATGGTACTGTTCACAGGATGCCTGTTGATCTACCTGCAGCATCGCACCAAAGGTTGGGCCTCTTTCCAGCTTTCACTCAAGTGCTTTCCAGGGTGGTTTGAGGTCTTTTTCAAGGTCTCCTCAGCTCCCCGTTCTCTAGTTACATAAATTCGGCAAGAAAAAGACCAAGTTGGAATATCCCTGAGAAGTAAAAGAAGGCAGCCAGGCACCCGATGGCTCACTCCTGTAATCTTGGCTACTCAGGAGTCTGAGATCTGAGGATCCTGGTTCAAAACCAACTCAGGCAGGAAAGTAGTGGGACTCTTTTCTCCAGATAATCACCAAAAAAAGCTAGAAGTGGAGCTGTGGTAGAAGGCTAGCCCAGAGCAAAAAAATCTCAATGGCAGCACCCAGAATCAGCTTCACCAACACAACAACAACAACAACAACAATAAACAACAAGAAGGCATCTTCTCATTCAGCCCCCTTGCTGGCACAACAGCACAATCGCTTTTTGTTTTTGTTTTTGGTGTTGACACTGTGGTTTGAACTCAGAGCCTGAGTGGCTGTCCTTTAGCTTTCTCCCCTCAAGGCTGGTGCTCTACCACATCTGGCTTTTCGGTGGTTAATGGGAGATGGATTTCATGGACTCTTCTGCCTCCTCCAACTTCGATCTGTGATCCTCAGATCTCAGGCTTCTGAGTAGCTAGGATTACGGGCTTGGACCAACAATGCATCATAGCTAATGGCACAACTGTTCTACATTTAAAGCAAGTCAGAATTGACCTCGGTGCCTGTTCTCGGTGCTCTCTGTGATGTCCCAGGAAGATCATATAGACACACAGCACTACAGAACGTTGCTCAAAGCCAAAGGACCCGTGATGTAAAAAAATGATGAGTGAATTATGTATTATTAAATGGTTGTTTTCCTGAAAGAAAAGCCAGGAATGTTCAGCTCTAAGTCTAGAAATCTGTTTTTCTGTTTTATGCATTTCTTTCATATCCTCTGGCTCTTTCTACTGTTTCTTTGATTTTTAGTTGTTTCAGGTTTGAGAACAGAATAATTAAGGCCCTGAACTTTGGTCCCCTGGGGATTTAAAGGGATCTACAAAAGGTTAATTTCCCAATATTTAACATAAGTATGACTATATATATAAATACGCATTTTTTTCTTGCAGAGTGACACGAATAAAATGGTCTTGTGTATAACAGCCTAAGGAATTGCCTGCTGTTCAATGTTTTTCTTTTGTTGTTGTTGTTGTTGTTGTTGTTATTATTTTGTGCCAGTCCTGGGGCTTGACGTCAGGCCCTGGGTGCTGTCCCTGAACTTCTTTTGCTCAAGACTAGCCCTCTACCACTTGAGCCACAGCACCACTTCCAGTCTTTTCTGTTTCTGTGGTACTGAGGAATTGAACCCAAGGCTTCATGCATGCTAGGCAAGTGTTCTACCACCAAGCCACCTCCCCAGTTTTTTTATTATTATTTTAAAGTAATTGTATAAAGGAGTTTATGAGGACAGTGTATCTTGATGAGTGTCAGTCCTTTCTATTGTTCACTTTCAATCTTTCACAATATTTATTTTATAAGTGAAAATGCAAAACTATGCCCCCCTTCCTTTCTGGTCTATGAAAATTTTAAATGAAAGCATCACAAGAGATACGGTTATAAAAATCAGTGGTTTAGCCGCACTCTATGTCTTTGTTTTGAGGTTCTTTAATTTTTATTGAATTTTACTTGACATTGGATCTTGTTTCCAAAATGAGCCCACGCATCTCATCGTTGTCGCGCCCACTAGGAAGTTTTGTTACTGTGAATTTTGGTCACAGGTGGATTGCTATTTTGTGTGACTATGCTTGGGAAAATATGAAGTCATCAAGAGAACTAATCTTCTGCAGCAGAGACACAATGGAGTCCGCAGAAAGTATTTCTCCTGGCAGCTCCTCCTTCTGTTTGATGTTATCATTCTCCAGATGGGTTGTGGGTGTGTGTGGGTAAAAAAAAAAAAAAAATCTGTGAACCCAAACCTTTTTATTTCCACTTTTCCTTCTGCTTGTGACCCTTCCCTCCCCTTCCCGAAGCGGATAGACATGGCTCCGGAATTCTCATGACAAAGTACTCTCTGGAAAACGTACCAAGCTGTAGGCTGTGAGCTGCGCCCTGCTTTAAGATGCTGAGAGGAGGAAGGGTTTTTATTCCCCAGTGAAGTGTTGTTGCTGTTTCCATAGGTTATGAAAATTAGACAGGATCAGTGCAATGAATGTAAACAGTATGGTAATGTGGAATGTGGAGGCCTGTAAATGCTAGCTGATCAAGGTCTGGAGTGCAGTGTGTGTGTGTGTGTGTGTGTGTGTGTTTGTATAGGTAGTAATGGAAATTTTGTAGACTGTTACCAGTGTCTGTTAACTGACTGTAGAATCCTTTTCTTTTTGACAAGTAAAAATACTGTAATTTATGGTGTACAACATGATGCTTGATCTATGTATGCTTTGTACAATGACTATATCAAACTAACCTATTCTGATATACTTGCCATTTGTAAGGACACTCTGTGTATGTGTGTGTGTGTGCACATTTGCACCAGAATGCCAGTACTGGGGCTTGAACTCAGGGCCTTGACATCCTGCTTGACATTTTTTGCTCAAGACTGGTATTCTACCACTTGAGCCACACCTCTATTCCTACCGTTTTGCTGGTTAAAGCCTTTCAGATTTATCTGCCTGGGTTGGCTTAGAACCAGGATCTTCAGGTCTCAACCTCCTGAGGAGCGAGGCTTACAGGTATGAGCCAGCAGTGCCCAGCTTGATGAGAACACTTAATATCCACCCTCAATGTGTACTGATGTTTGAGTGGGTCCTTACTCATTTAGCAAATGTGTTTATCTTGGGCACTGGGAGGCACTGGGAAATTGAGCAAGTTGGGGTTCAGGTACTCCAATGAGACAGGCTTGAAAATAAAGCGTTGCTTGTAGAACAGAGAACAGCTCTTGTGGAGTTCTCTTTGCTTGGTTATTTTATCCTCTTCTCTGGAGACTTCATGAAATCACAGTTTCTTCAACAGATTCTTTGATTTATTTCTCCATGGTATTTTACTTTCTTTTGGAAAAGATAAAATTCTAACTGATTGACATAAAAAATTTCAAGCAATGTGAATTGCTGCAAGTGTTTTTGTTGATGTGTGTGTGTGTGTGTGTTTGTGTGTGTTGGTTCCAGTCCTAGGGCTTGAACTAAGGGCCTGGGTACTGACTCTGAGCTTTTATTTTGTTGTTGGTTATGGGATTGAACTCAGGGCACAGACACTCTCCCTGAGATTGTTGCTCAAGGCTAGTGCTTTACCATATTGAGTCACAGCGCCACTTCTGGTTTTCTGTTGGTTAATGAGAGATAAGAGTCTTGAGGAATTTCCTGCCCAAACTGGCTTTGAACCATGATCCTCAGATCTCTGTCCCGAGTAGCTAGGATTACAGGCGTGAGCTGACTCTGAGCTTTTTTGCTTAAGACTAGTGCTCTACCACTTGAGTCACATCTCCACTCTGGCTTTTTGGTGGTTTATCAGAGATAGGAGGCTCACAGACTTCACTGCCCAAGCTGGCTTTGAACCATGGTCCTCAGATTTCAGCCTCCTGGTTAGATAGGGTTACAGGTGCGAGCCATTGGTGCCCAGCTCATGTTTGTATTTTTAAATTTGGATATTAGTATTAGAAGCACCCACTCTATCTACAAAGAAGACACCTATAAATAAGGATGTACCTTTTGCTGTTAGGAATAAAGTTACCCCAGTGATGTATGCTTCCTCTGACATTCATTTAACAAAGTACATCCTAGGTAGAAAACACATTTCATTTGCAACACTCTTTCAAGGGCTTTTAGTGAGGGAATTTTGATGGAGATAATGGATAATACAATTTAGAACAAAATGAGAAGTGAAAGAGTTGATCAGATATTCTTTTTCTTTCCTTTTAGGACAAGTCAAAGTCTTCAGGGCTCTGTATACCTTTGAACCCAGAACTGTAAGTATTCTGTTTTTGTAACTTTTATGTTGGCATAACAAAGTCAGGCGATTTTAGGTAGATTCTTACACTGGTGTCACTGGCCTGCCATTTCTTGGATAGAAGTTCGGTGAGGTCACAGGAATGAGCGTTTCCTCACTTCCCACTGCTGGCCCTAGATGCGCATGCCCAGCCCCCAGGTTGTATGTCCTGTGATCTGGATGCGCATGCTCAGCCCCCAGGTTGTATGTCCTGTGATCTGGATGCGCATGCTCAGCCCCCGGGGGGGTTGTATGTCCTGTGATCTGGATGCGCATGCTCAGCCCCCAGGTTGTAGGTCCTGTGATCTGGATGCGCATGCTCAGCCCCCGGTTGATCCGTATGTCCTGTGATCTGGATGCGCATGCTCAGCCCCCGGGTTGTATGTCCTGTGATCTGGATGCGCATGCTCAGCCCCCGGGTTGTATGTCCTGTGATCTGGATGCGCATGCTCAGCCCCCGGGTTGTATGTCCTGTGATCTGGATGCGCATGCTCAGCCCCCGGGTTGTATGTCCTGTGATCTGGATGCGCATGCTCAGCCCCCGGGTTGTATGTCCTGTGATCTGGGCCTGAAGATCCTGTGGTCCGTTCCCTACTGCTTGTCCCCTCACGCTGACACCGCCGAGTCACCAGTGATCTCATGGAGAACAGTGACCCTCTCTTAGTGGTCCTTCCTTCTATTTCTGCTCTATGGCTTTTCCATTGTTGCAGGGTCCACCATCACCGCGCAGACCCCGCAGCTCTCTGCAAACCCGGCTCCTGTGAGAGCTGTTATTTCATGCCTGATTGACCCATCGAGTTCGTTATATTCCAGGGCCCCGAGGAGGGCAGAAGTGGGGAAGGATGGGAAGACCATCAGCCCTCCTGGGCCACTCCATGGAGTGATTCTTTTTTTATTGTGAGAATACCGTACAGAGGAGTTACAATTACATGGGCAAGATAACGAGTCCATTTCTTTTTTTTTCTTTTCCTTTTTTTTTGGGTGGGGGGCTCCGGTCGTGGGTCCTGAACTCTGGGCCTGGGCGCTGTCCCTCAGCTCTTCAGCTCAAGGCTAGCGCTCTGCCACTTGAGCCACAGCGCCACTTCTGGCTTTTTTCTTTTTGCTATGTGGTGCTGAGGAGTCGAACCCAGGGCCTCAGACATGCAAGGCAAGCGCTCTACCACTGAGCCACCTTCCGAGCCCCTCCGTGGGCTTTCTATTGATTTTGCTAGCTGTGTCCTTTGCCATGCAGAAACTCTGTAATTTCATGCAATCCCATTTGTCCAACCTTTCTTTGATTTGTTGTGTTTCTGGGTCTCTATTAAGAAAATTTCGGCCTGTACCAAGGAGACCTAGGGTTTCTCCTAGTACTTCCTGTAATGTTTTCAGAATGTCTGCTTTGACTCCGAGGTCTTTGATCTTAGTTGATTCTGGTGCAGGGTGATAGATAAGGATGTAGCTTTAGTTTTCTACAAGTAGTTAACCAATTTTGCATGGAGTGATTCTTGATGTGTTCTCCCCTCTGCCCCCAGTTAGCATTACCTTTGTCCTTTCTCAGTGACCTTTTCCTCCTTCCCCCTTGGTTCTCCCTGGCCTTATGTCTCTTCTCATCCAGACACCAGCTTCTCCTTTTGTCTTCATTCTCTGCTAGACCCATCTTCCTAAAAATGTGGCTTCCATTTTACCACCTGCCTCAAATCTTCATCCAATGGAGGGTATGACCCTTCATAGTCCTTCCTTGAATCATGAGATCTGACTCCTGGTGAACCCATAGCAGAACCATTGCTGGACCTACAGTGTTGCTCATTCTAAGCTCTGTGAACTACTTCCTCTTCCACAGACCCTTCTCAAACCACTTTACTTCCCTTACCTCCTCCACCTCTAACCCAAGACTTGGCCCGTGTTTCAGCACTTCAGTGTACTGTGTAAACTCAGGCAGGTTTTCTTTTTCTCTCTTTGTGGGTCTTGAACTCATAGCCTGGGTGCTGTCCCTGAGCTTTTTTGCTCAAGGCTAAGAGCTCTACCACTTGGAGCCACAGCGCCACTTCCCATTCTCTGGTGGTTAACTGGAGATAAGAGTCTCATGGACTTCTCTACCCAGGCTGGCTTTGAACTGGGATCCTCAGAACTCAGCCTCCTGAGTAGGCAGGATCACAAGCATGAACATCACCAGCACCCTGTATTTCAGGGGTTTTATGTATTATGTGTACAGCTGAAGTTATTAGTAAGCAGTGATTGTTATTATTGGTGGTAGGAGCAGTGGTTGTTGTATTGAGAAGTGTAACACTTAGTTCTGGTTACCTGGTATACTAATTAATTTACCTTCAGTTTGGCTCTGAGATGGCGTTTCTCCATTAGTTTTGTTGTTGTTGTTTGTTTTTAATAAATTCTTAGTTGTTATTGAATGTATAGGAGAAATTTGAAAGGTGAACATATTGTCTGGAGGATCCTAGACTGTGGTTAGGAATGGCCTTTCCAAGCCCTATGTGCTTCTCAAATCGAATCACAAAAGGCATCAACCTCAGAGTTAACTCTGTGATTGGAAGCTTATAAGGCTTCACTTTCTCCCTTCTTTAAATCCAGATCTTGAAAGGTCCAGTTTGATGGGCCAGGGAGCCCCTAGGTTAACTACGCATGTGTTCCTGATGTTAAATTTTGAATATCGCCCCAGAACGGGGTTTGTTCACATTCGCTTCTGAATGAGAATTCCTAGTGGACATGTTGGAAGCTCAGGTTGGTCTTTTCCCACTGTGTCTGGCAGCCATTTTCTTTTAGAGGGACAAAGACACCATAACTCCCTGGGGAAGGATCTTACCTCCTCAAACCCATAGGGACCTGGCAAGATTGATGGGCTGAGATGAAGGACCTTTTGCCAACATAGGCAACACTTTAAGAAGACCTAAAGTCTTTGGACTCTGTGTGTGTGTGTGTGTGTGTGTGTGTGTGTGTGTGTGTGTGTGCTGATCCTGGGGCTTGAACTCAGGGTCTGGGTGCTGCCCCTTAGCTTTTGCTCAAGGCAGGTGCTCTACCACTCAGGCCACACTTCCATTTCTGTCTTTTTGGTGGTCTTTAGCTGGAGGTAAGAGTTTCATGGATTTTACTGACCAGGCTAGCTTCAAACTGATCCTTAGATCTCGGTAGCTACGATTATAGGATGAGCCATCAGTGCCTAGCCTACGGCTTGTTTTTAATGACTATTCTGTCAGCAGGGGATAGTGATAGCATCATCTGAATGATCCTTGGGACAGGTAGACCATGATACCGCCTGTGCTTCTGGGTTCTTCACAGAAGTCCATTTGTCATCTTAAAGCCCACCTGTCGTACTTAAAGGCAGGTAATCCTGACGTCATCCAGCCCTCCATCTGATAAAGTGTCCCACAGGGACCAGTCTGGACTGGATAGACCAGTGCAGAGACATCTGGCCGGGTGTGACCGGGGAGTGTCCATGTCAGAGGGAAACCATCTGGACCCCAGCAAGGCTTTGCGGAGCTGCACTGCGTTTGCAGCACAGATTATGAAGGAAAGGCGTTCTAGAATGGGAATCCCAAAGCTGAGGTAGCAGGCCAGCCAGGCTCCACACTGTGAGGCCGGCAGCACATTCTTTTAACGTCTGTGGGTCTGCTTGTGAAATGGATACTGCACCCTCACCCAGCCACACCTAGCGGGTTGTTTTGAGGACCAGATGAGGCTGGTTTTGTTCATTGTGTTATTACTCCCTTCTCCCCACCCCATCTCCTCCCCCCCCCTCCCCCCTCTCCCCCCCCCCCCCCCCCCCCCGACCTCCTGACTAGGAATTAGAGCCCAGACCTCTAGCTTTTATACAGAGGGGTTGTAGTTATGTAAGTCAGGTAAAGAGTACATTTCCTTTTGGACCATATCAGCCCTTCATACTTCCCTAGTTCTCCCTCCCGTCCCCACCTACAAGTTGAATAGTTCATTTAAAAAAAAAAATCATTGTAAAGGTGATGTATGCGGGGGTTACGGTAAGTACATTTCTTTTTGAGCAGTGTCACCCCTCTCCCTCATTTTCTCCCGTTTTTTTTTTCCCCTCCCAGTATAGTTCATTTGTAACATAGTGTCTGGTGAGTAGCACCACTCCATTTTTACCCTTTGCCCTCCATTTCTGTCCTCCTCCCCCCCCCCCATTCCTCCCAAAGACAAATACACAAACAAACAAGACAACAAGAAAAGAAAACAAAAATCGCAATTAAAAAACCCCTCTTGTTTCCATTTCCTGGAGTTCATTTCAATAACTATATATTTTTTTTTAGAGCGGCGACGCACGGCCCTACCCCGCTCAATAAATGTTTTGTATGCTGACATGCACATAGGCATTACACCTTTGTTCCTCTCCTAAGACAATCACTGTGTGTGACTTATCATGTCCTAGTGATTTTTAGATCTAGCTTCTGTGTAGGAGAGGAAACACGTGCTGCGTGTCTAGCTTGCTAGGCTTGGTGGTGCTTGACCACTTTTGCCACCCTCTAGCCCTGGACTATCCCACTATTGTGGGAAAGACTGGGAATAAGGAATGACAGATATTTTCCAAGACTATCAGCTTTGAACCCTATCAATGGTGATTAGCATGACAGCAAATAATGGCTGTGCAGGATGTGTCTCTGTAGGAGAGCCCTGGTAGGCTTACCAGCAGGGCCTCAGTATTCTGACTGTCACATGCTCTCTGGTCTTGAACTGTATGGCAGTCACAATAGCTCAACTCCTCAGTATTGTTGAAGTTTGTCGAGGTCAGAGGTGCACCTGACACCTGATAAACATAATGAAGTGTTCAGTGAAAAATGTGGAGAATTTGTTTTTCCATTCTGTTAATTTTTGGGGCCTTTAAGGTTACCAAATCTGAAAAAGATCAACGGTTTCTGTAAGCTTCCCATAGAATATATACTTGAGGAAACCAACAAAAATAACACCTTGGGCCAGGTCCTGTTGGCTCATGAAGTGTGAAGATCAAAGTTCAAAGCCAGCCTAGGCTAACAAATCCAAGAGATTCTTATCTCCAGGTATGCAGCAAAATGCTAGAAGTGGAAATATAGCTCAAGTGGTAAAGCAACAACTTTGAGTGAGAAAGCCACAACTTTGAATGAGAAAGCCAACTGAGTTTAAGCCCCAGTTCCAGAACACACACACATACACACACAAACACACACACACACACACACACACACACACACACATACAGAGTAATGCTTCGGGAGCCATGTTAATCTGGAATATACACAATAGGAATGAGAATATATCCCCAAGTATGTACCTACCTAGTGCTGGAGCTTTCTTGTTCTGATATCCCATGGTTCTTCAAGGAGAGAGGAAGGGGAAAGCTATTAAAAACCTGGGAGCAAGCTGAAAATAGAGACAGGCTCACTTCACCGAGCTGTGGTTTTCTCTTTTCTGTCCCATCAACAAGATGCCAGGAATTTCAAAGTAGAGCCTCAGTGAATAATTTATATCGAGTGTCCTGCTGGTGGTTGCTTAATGGAAAAAGTGAATATTGTAGGTAGAAATCTGATTTTTAAATCAGCTTTGCTATCTCTGTGACCTTCAGCATTCTGAAGAATTTCAGAGACTGCCTTTCTAGTCCTGTTAGGAAAAAACAACCCCTCGCTTCTTTGCAGGTAGTGGCGTGGTGCTTCTTGGAGTTTTTGATGAAAAGAAAATAAACTGGCCACGATCATTCCTCAGTCTGAAAAAAAATTATGAAGACCTTTTCTTTTATGTGACTGAAATTGACCCCTATTGTGGCCTTCATTGAAACACTACCCTCACCTGGGATATGACAGTGGCTGATCGGTATGGATCAGAGCTGCAGCCATTCACCAGCACGAAGAAGTATCCAGATGATTGCTCTTGGCACTGGTTTCCAAATAATGCAGCTTATCAAACCACAGACACTGAGTTTTAGCTTTGACATTTTTGCACTTTTAAAATGGAGGTAAAATTCACATGACATAAAATTAGCCATTTGAAAGCAAACTACTTAGTGGTGTGTATACTGTCTAGTCAGAGTGGTGGACGGTGATAACCTCTGTCCCCCAAATGAAACCCACTACCATTAGACAGTTATTTCCCTTTTCCCTGGACTTCACTATTAGCGTCATGGAGAATAATAATCATGGTGATTTTGTACATGTGTGTATTCAGTGTATTTGGTGGTGCTGGGGTCGTGGGGCTTGAACTCAGGGCCTGGGTGCTATCCCTGCCTTTGTCTGCTTGTTTGTTTTTTTCTCAAGGCCGTAGTTCCACTTCTGGCTCTTTGGTGGTTAATTGGAGATAAAGAGTTTCATGGATTTTTCCTATCCAGGCTGGGTTCGAACTGCCATTCTCAGATCTCAGCCTCCAGAATTGCTAGGATTACAAGCATGATTTGTTGGGTACTTTTTTTTTATAATGTTTCTTTTTGTGTTAAGAGTGAGTGATCTGATTGGAAGTAGGAATTTAGCCCAGGGATGGTAGCTTGTATCTGTAATCCTAGAAATTTGGGATGTAGAGATTCTGAAGATTGAGGTTCAAGGCCAGTCCAGGCAGCAAACGGATATCTCAACACAAAAGCTGGTTGTGGTGTCACACAGCTGTGGCTGTAGTTTGAGGCAGGCCTAAGTAGAAAGACAGAAGTCCAGGCCTGCCTGGAGGGGTGAGACTGGCAGGATGATGACAAAATAAAGCAAAAAACAACCCACTCTGCCCAGCAAGCACGAAGCCCGGGGTTCAGACCTCCACTGTTTCAAATAATAAACTAATACTACTACTAATAATTTAGCTGGACTTGTCTCTTGCAGTGGTAGGAGGGTGAAACCACAGGGCGAGATACTTCCTTTCCTGAAAGCAGCAGTAGAAGATCTAGGGAGACATAAGTGAGCAAGTTTACACTAAAAGAAGTCCAGCACAGCTCTGACGCCGGAAATCAAGGCATCTTAAGTAACTCCAGGAAATGGAGTCATTCTAGGAAAAAGCTGCAGTTCACATCTATCCTTGTTTTTGTTTTTGTTTTTGTTTTTTCCTGAAATACCATCCATTTTCTTTCATTCTCCCCTTCCATACCTTCGTGTCTTCTGAAGGAGAGGTACAGTCTAATTAAAATTCCTAGCAAAGGCCACCCTCACCGTATGGAGGATGGTCACAGAGTAGCTGGGATGCTATGGTACTGAATGCATCTCTACAGCCTGTCTGACCATGGCGGATATTAAAGAAAATAATTAAAGATAATAAAGGCATAATTAAAAGAAGTATGAAAGGAAATTGTTTCCCTAATCACTTCCTGCAGGCATCAAATATTGGTAGTAAAACTGCTCCTCAATCATCAAAACATTTTAGGGACAGATTAGAGGTCTTTAATTTCCTTTCTCTGAAATATTTATTCAAATGAAATTATGATGCACCTCATCAGCTCTAGGAGGTTAATTTTATTTAGTTTCTGTTGTGTGGAAGTAGAGTCTCTGTAAATCAAAGTGTAAATGAAACAGATGCTTTAGGAATTGTCTTTTAAAGAAATTCAGCTGTTTGGGCCAGATGCTATTAATCATTATCTGATTTACATATTCATATATTGCTATTGCTTCAAGCAAATACGGTCTTCACTTGTACTCAGGTCAAAACAAATTAGAACAGTAATCGTATAGATTACCTTTGAAATGAAGTAAATACTAATGCTGAGTCTTATTTATTATTTATTCCAATCTGCTACCAAGAGGAAATAAACAAACAGAGAAATGAATGGATGAACGAACTAGTTTTTCTAGTGTAGTTTTTATTTGTAAGGAATAGTTACATAATCAGAAACGTCCAAGTCTTTTTTTCAAGATATTTCACCACTAGTATGATCAGCTCTTCATGGTAGAAACTTTGGAAAAATTTCTATACATGTTGCATGCACAATTGGGATCTTATGTGGAATTTTGTCCTCTGCATTTTTTTTTCTGCTCCTGGGCCTAGAACTCAGCCCCTGGGCACTGTCCCTGAGCACTTTTGCTCAAAGCTAACACTCTAATGCTTGAGTCATAGCTCCTATTCTAGCGTTTTGGTGATTACTTGGAGATAAGAGTGCAGACTTCTTTCTCCAGCTGGCTTTGGACCACACTCTTCAGCTCTCGGTCTCCTGAGTAGCAAGGATTACAGATGTGAGCCACTGGCATCTGGCAGCATGTATATTTTTCAGAAAATGATAAATGTCTAGAATTCCAGTCACAAAGCATACCAATAGTTGCTATCTAGTTATTTTAATAATACTATCATCCAGTCTCCTCATGCTCAGAGAGAATGGAAATTACATGGGTGGATAATTGATATATAGTTCAGCCATTAATAAAGCCAAAGATCTGAAAGATAGAAAGCAATTACCTAGACAGTCTAGAGACCACAAACAACTCTAAGGAGTTAGCCAACTACTTAGGCTACGTGTGTTCTGGCTGTATAAAACAAATGTCCTACCAACTCTGAATAAAGTGAGCAACTTAATGAAAAAATCTGTTTCTCATTTGATAACATACACATACACACACACACACACACACACACACACACACACACACACACTCCTTGCTTTTGTTGTAGAAGAATATGAAATAGATGTGTGGGAAAGGCATTATCATATTCTAATTCATAAAAAAGCAGAAGGACTCAAATATTTTTTTTTTTCTTTCAGCCAGATGAATTGTACTTTGAAGAAGGTGATATTATCTACATTACTGACATGGTAAGCCTAGCTAATGTTTTGTAATATTATGTATGTTCTACAGTTATAATGAAGCTAATATGCAGTTATGAAATTGTAATCTTATTTAACGAGTATGTACACTGACATACTTGTGCAGAAATTTGTTGAATTTAGCACAATTTATAGTATCATAAGGCTGAAAGTAGGCCTTTAGTTGATAAAAAGGAAAATTAGACGAATGAGTTATGTTATATCCACAAACAGAGTATTATGCAATTACAATAAAGAAACGGGAATGCTGTTATGGAGAAATTTAAGCAAACAAAATGCAAGGTGAAACAATGTCTATATTATGTTTTTGATATTATTATCAAAGGGAAAGTGGGAGAATATATATATGCATATATATCTATATATATATATATATGATACATACATCTGTTTCCCCCTATTCAAAGTAAAATGAAAGGGCGAGTTATTAAATTAGTTTCTTTTTCTTTTTTGTCAGTTGTGGGGCTTGAACTTGGGCCTGGCCATTGTCCCTGGGCTCTACCACTTGGAGTCGTAGCAACACTTCTGGTTTTCTGGTGGTTAATTGGAGATGAGTCCCACAGCATTTCCTGATCTGGGTGGCTTTGAACCGTGATCCTCAGATCTCAGCCTTCTGAGTAGCTACTATTGCAGCCATGAACCAGCAGAGCCCGGCTAAATTAGTTTTCTTTATATGGAGGAAGGGAAGGCAGGAATATACAGAAGGACTTTGAAAAATTATGCTTTGTTTTGAAGATTGAACTTTGGAATGCTTATAAACATTTACATAGTTATAAAGTTAACTAGTAAAATTCCTAAACATGAAAGGTAGAATGTATCAAGTGACTTTAAGAATATCTTGGCAATTGGTATTATGATGCAGAGAAGAAGGTATTTAAAATGACTTTAAAACTCAGCAGTTTGACTACTAGAATACATTTGAAGGACAAAAAGAGCTAGTTTAAAAAAAGGAAAGGAAACTTCAGTCATGATCTAGTTGAGGAAGCGTGGCTATTTTGCTAATTCTTAGATCTTGCATATGCATCTTGGTTCTGAAAAATGAGCCATTAGATTAGTGTTGATTTTCACCTTGGGAGAAAGGATACACACACACACACACACACACACACACACACACACACACACGTAAGATCCTGGAGGTTGAATAGAAACTTAGTAACCCTTCATTTGAGTTGGAAATATTTTATATTTTACCTAAAAGGAAAGAAAAATGTCCCTTCTCAGTTCTTTGAAAGGGCCTAAAAACTACCAAAACTACCATCACAAATGTTATTTCCTACTATAAGGAAAAAGTTTATTTAAGAGATGTTTGAATCCGGCACTGGTTCACGCCTACTATCTAGCTATTCAGGAGGCTGAGATCTAAGGATAATGGTTCAAAGCTAGCTTGGGCAGGAAAGTCCTGTGAGACTCTTACTAACCACCAGAAAACTGGAAGTGGCACTGTTGCTTGATGTGGTAGAGCAAAAGAAGCTCAGGGACAGTGCCCAGGTCCTTTCCAAACAAACAAACAAATAAATAAAAAAGCAAAAGAGAGAGAGGCCAGCCTTGGATATGGGGCAACAAAGGTACGAGATAAACCCAGCACATCCTGTTAATAAAAAGCAGGAAGAAGCCCCGAAGGATACAAGGGCCACATTAATGAAAGGACTCAGGAATTAGGAATTAGCTTAAATGGCAACTTCCATTGGCCAGACTGAAGAGTTTGAGTATCATTTAGGACAACAACTTCCAGGAACTGGAATACATCAACAATGGCCAGCTTTATGAGTTCCTAATGTTACACTGTGGTCTGTGGTGTGAGGGAATGCTAGTGAACCGCAGTTTTATTCTGTCCGCCACTAAAGGAACTGACTAGCACGAAGGGACAAGCATTTACTGTCTTTCCTCCATCAACTTTAACTTTGAGTAATGTGAGAGTTGAGGTGAGGAAAGTTTGTTTTTACAACGTGTGCTAGTTATTTAAATGAAAGAAAGGTAGAATAGCCCCCTTGTGCAACTCGTGTGAATAATGGTTCCAAAGGGCAGTCACCCACGGTGACACACCAACCACACAACAGCAGAGCCAACCACACCTTACATGGTGTTCCCCTAAAGAAACTGACCCCAAGCCTGGGGCTGGTGGCTCACGCCTGGAGTCCTAGCTACTCAGAAAGCTGAGATCTGAGGATTGCTGTTTGAAGCCAGCCCAGGCAGGAAAGTACAAATAACCACCAGGAAACTGGAAGTGGAACTGTGGGTCAGAGTGGCCCAGTGCTAGCCTTGGGCAGAAAAGCTCAGGGACAGAGCTCTCAGGCCCCGAGTTTAAGACCCACAATCCACAGGAAAAAAGAAAAAAACAAAATAGAAAGAAAGAAATTGACCTTACCTATAAAATAACCCTAGTAAAAATGTTAAAAGCAGAATCTAACTCAGCCTCTAAAATCAGCTATCCATTTGTAGGCGAGACAAGACAAGAAGTAGCATATGCCTAATAACATAGGCAAATAATAATAACAGGCAAAATCTAGACTGAAATTTTACAGAACAAGGCTCTTCAACAGGTATGTTGCAAGAGGTAGAATACAGGGCGGAAAGGAGCCTTTGTCTCGAAAGATGTGTGCTCCTTCTTTGGGATCCCAAATTGTCGACCAATTAGGAAATTTGAATATTGACCTGGAGATTTGACGGTATTGAGGAATTCTGGTTGTGAAACTTTTAAGGTGTGATCATTATCTTTCAAAAAGTCCTTGTAAGTAGACATGTGTCTAAAATGGTCTAGCACCAGCCCTGAGTGAAAAATCAAGTGAGAGTTTAAGGTTCAAAGTTCAAGTCTGAGTACTAGCGTATAAATAAATAAATGTCCTTACATATTGAAACAGCTGTAGATGAAATGATGTCAAATTTTATTTTAAAATAATCTAGAGAGACTGGGTGTGATGGGATTTATGGAACCATATTGGTTACAAATAAAGGATTCATACAGTTTGGAACCATTTATTAGAATATTCTTTCTACTTTTTGCATAGTTTTGAATTTTTTTCTGTGAAAAAAATTGAAAAAGTTGTCAGGCACTGGTGGCTCATGCCTGTGATTCTAGCTACTCAGGAGGCTGAGCTCTGAAGACCATGGTTCAATGCCACCCAGGCAGAAAGCTTGTGAGACTCATCTCCACTTAACCCCTGGAAGTGGAGCTGTGGCTCAAGTAGTAGAGCATTAGCTTTGAGCAAAAAATCTTAAGCACCCAGACCCTGAGTTCAGGCCCTAGGACCATAACAAAATAAACAACAACAACAAACAACAAATAAAGTTACCCAAAAGATGAAGGTAAAATAGAAAGATCATTAGAAATTCTTCCAGAACATAACATTTTAGAAGAGAAGAACAATTAAACCAGACCAAAAAACCCCACTTCCCCTAGTTAGTTTTCTCTACTTCTCTTTCATGTTATCTCTGAGTTGTTTGGCAGTTGAGGCTCTGTAATGAAGTCTATTTGATTCCTGTGTACATTGTAATTTGCTGGTAAGGGAGGTGGCTACCCCTAGCAGTGGTATGGTATGAGGGAGTTTGATGAACATGGACATCAAGAAGAAAACAGAAACAGCTCAAGTAAATAACCTCATGATTCATACAAATAAAGCTGCCAGGAAAACAGGAACAAACCAAACCCTAGACGACCAGAGGGAGAGATATAGTAAAGATTAGAGGTGGAATCAATGAACTGGAGGCTTAAAAAAAAAGCTATACATAAGATCAATGAAACAAAATGCTGGTTCTTTGAGAAAAAAAAATCAATCAAATTGACAGACCACTAGCTAAATTGGCAAAGAAAAGGAGAAAGGAGACTCAAATCAACAAAATCAGAGACATCAGAGGTAACATTACAATCCAAAAGATTGTGAAGGACTACTTTCAAAACCTGTACTCAAATAAGATGCTACACATGGGCGTGGGCAGGTACACTTTACAGTACAGGTATGTGTGGGAAGCAGGTGGTTTTGAGAGAGGTTGAATGGCATCTGGATTTGGTGCCCTGTCACTGAACTCTTTCTTTCCCCAGAGTGATACCAATTGGTGGAAAGGGACTTGCAAAGGCAGGACGGGACTCATTCCAAGCAATTACGGTAAGTGCTGCAGGGGTGGCTTTACTGTGCTCATTTTTGCCTCCTGGTTCTTGAGGCAGATTTGGCTTCCTCTGCTTGCAGATGTGGAGTTATTGCCATTCTAGGACATTTTCTAGTCTCTGAGCCTCCTGTCATACAGTGGCCAAGAGTAGCAGCTGTGCTTGGGGCTGTACACTGCAGTAGCATGAGATTTCCCCGGAAACACCATGGTCTTAGGTCAGTCAGCTCTTCTCCCAGAGTCTTTCTTGAATGAATTTGTGATTTTTGTTTTAAAAAGCCCCACTTCATAAGTTCATGTTTGGGGTAATGGAAATCATAGCATGAAAGTTTGGGGAGCTGGAACATGGAGATAGGGTGCTTGCCCCAAAGCTGTTTCTGGTTAGAGAGACAAGACAGACAAGAATAGATAGGTAGAAATAAGAAAAGTCAGAACATAAGACTAGTAAACAAGGGTACCAAGGTATGGGTTTTAATAGGTTTTCTTCCACTTGTATGTTTGTTTACCATGTAGGCTAGGCTAGTCTTGAACACATGACCCTCCTGTTTCAGTCCCCCAGCCCCCAGCAACTGTTAGGATTATATTCATGTCCCATCATACCCAATTCTTGTACCTTTTAATAACAAGGCACCTTAGTTAAGACTACTACCTTAGGAATTTAGTTTTCCCATATGTATAAGAACAGGTTTGCATATTTACCACTTCTATGATTCCTTTAGAATTTAGCATGATGAGTCTTTAGACTAATAGAACTGGCTTCAGGCATCAATTCCCAAGTACCAGAGAGAACTTAGAAAATACCAATCAGAATCCTTCAAAGTTCTGGTGAAAATTGGGGTGATATCTAAGGCCTGGGACCCAGCCCAGGGATCCTGCTCACCTTGGTTTTAGGATGGTACTGTTCTTTGCCAATGCCCATAACCAACAAAATACAACACAAGAAGAAGAAAAAGATCAAAAAAAGAATTCTTTAAATATTTATCTATTTCTGCATTTTTATTTTCTGTTTTGGCGCTGGTCCTGAGGCTTGAGGCTAGGTTCCTGGATGCTGCCCCTAAGTCTATCAGTTGAGTCACAGCTCTACTTGGGCTTTTTGGTGACTAATTGGAGAGAAGAATCTCAGGGACTTTCCTCTTCAGGCTGGCTTTGAACCACAATCCTTAGATCTCAGCTTCTTGAAGAGCTAGATTACAGGTGTGAGCTACTGATGTCCAGCTTGTGTTGCCTTATTTTATTTTGTCCTCAAACTGGGTCCTTTTTTTCCCTCTGGAAATTGTGGGATATAAACAAGAAGACCCAGCACTCATTGAGCAGCAAAGCAGACTTTTTATTCTTGGCCATGAATAGAAGTGGGAGATAAACTCCTGAATGCTTAAGGATCAGAGCTTATAGATACAGAATAAAAGAAATGGGCTAATAATGGGGAAGGATAGTCTCCTCTTCTCCAGGTCTGGGTGGAGTCTCCAGGAGTTCAAGCATTGTCTGTTTTCACTCCTTTCATGGTTCAGTCCAGTTGTCCCTGCGGAACTTGTCAGGTGCCACAGCACTGCAGGATTGTGTCAATTATCACACAGATGGAATTATCATGAACTCAGAGGTGGCCTGGAATTCACCCTGGCAGCCATCTTGGCTTCCAACCACCTAAAGATGAGCTTCTGGCCTGCAGGCACCATGTCCTCAACGATCACTAGATTGAGGGCATGGTAGAAATTCAGCTAGGTCACCTGGGTGGTATTCCAGGAAACATTCGACACCCCCAAATATACCTTTGTAGTACACTCCATTCCAGCCACAAGAACATTCCGTCACAGTTCTTCCGTGGTGGGAAAATGTGGTCTTGAAGTCACACTTGAACCCCTAGCCCTCCTTGGAGTACACCTCCTCATTTGAGGACCACAGTCTCCCTCAGGGACTTGTAGGTCTGCCCATTGTCCTTTCTGAACACAGAAGACAAGCTATGTCCCTCGCTCTCTCCTACATGTACTCACACAGAGGAATCAGAATTATCTTTTAGCTATCTTCAACATAGGTTGGTTTGGTGAATGAGTGGATATCAGATGCTATCTTTCAAAGTATTTATTTATTAAATACTTGGAGAGTAAATTCCTGGGGTTTGGTACTAAACACCTTAGTAAATACCCAGGTTGGACGGTCTGTTTGGCTTTGTTCCTGTTTCAGTGAATTGCTATGCGATTGCCCCACTGAACGCAGACTTCAGCTTCCTTTAAAGCAGGCAGTATCTGTTTGGTTCCTTGTTAGTTTTTATCCTCATTAAGTAAGTGAAACTGTATTGTCCGAGGCTTTGGCTCTCATAAAGTTGGGATGTGGGTCACTCTGGTAAATCATGGGGCACCCTCAGCGCTGGGATTATACTTTTGCTTTTCAATTTTTTCTAGTGGCTGAGCAGGCAGAATCCATTGACAATCCACTGCATGAAGCTGCCAAAAGAGGTGGGTGTGATTTTCGGTGTTCTGACCGACAGCGATAGTACAGTAGAATGCAGTGATTTTTTTTTGTTTGTGTGTTTTGAGTGATATTGGGGTTTGAACTCAGATCTTCTTACTTGCTAGGAAGGTGCTCTACTACTTGAGCCACACCTCCAGTGAATGGAAGGATTTAAAGTATGCAATATGTTAACTTTTGGCAGATGCATGCATCCAGGGAACCAGTACCCAAATTTGAATGTAGAAAACTTCAGCCACCTCTAAATGTGCCCTCACATACTTGAGATCCTCTCCTCTCCAAAGCCAGCCACTGCGTTGACCTCTAACTATAGATGATTAAAATGTGGTAGGAGAGGTAGAGCAGTTGAAATGTATTTAAGTTTGGACAGGCTGTAGTGGCCATAATGAGGAAGTGGAGAGCAAGAGTGTGTCCTGGGGGTGCATTAAGAGAGTGCCCATGTGGAGAAGGAGTTCAGGAAAGGGGTTAAGTAACAATTCGTCTGAAGAGGATGTCTATGATGAGTATGCCCTCCCAGCCCAGTTCAAAAAAACCCTAGTGCTCCTGGCTTCATATTTGTCGATGCTTGATCTACTACTTGAGCACGCTCAACCCTTTTAACTTTAGTTAGTTTGCAAATAGGATCTGCATTTTTTTACCCAGGCTAACATGGATTGTGATTCTCCTGTTTACACTTCTTGTATAGCTAGGATGGTAGATGTGTGTCACTATGCTCAGATTATTGGCTGAGGACCTGCTTTATGTTTTATCTGGGCTGGATTTAAACAGTCCTCCACATCTCAGCCTCCTAAGTAACTAGGATTACAGGCATGTATTACTGTACACCCATTTATCCGTAATTCCTTCCTATAAGCTCTAGGGCATTTTGCTATATTTGGAGACATTTTTACTGCCATGACTTGGGAAGGATACTGCTGGCATATTTTGGGCATGTCACTGAAGCTCCACAACACAAAATTCTCTGGCCCCAAATGCCGGTAGCACTATGGTTGCCACAGATAATGAGGTGTTTTGGTAAAGCCTTGGCGAGCTCTTTCCCTTCTGTTCTGGGTCTTTTTAGAAGCTGAATGTACATAAGGAAATTATGGGTTTAGAGGTATTAATCTGCCATTTAAAAATAATTCTTTGTAAATTCAATACTTAGAGCATTAGCCTGAAGAGTTTTAATTTATAGTTATGTTTTAGCATGTAAGGACCGTAGATTAGAGTAGCTTATGTAGTATGTCTTGTCTTATAGGAACTTTAAATATGGATAGGAATGCTTCCACTTTGTTTTTAGGTTTGACTTGTTTTCATTCCAAGCTTCAGAATTTCATAAAGAAAGACAAATGCATATAGAGTGTATATATATATATATATATATATATATACATATATATATATATATATTTACAGAATATCTTCAGCAAATCTACTTAGATAGCACTTCCTGTCACTCTACCATTAAAGCTTGATGTGAATGCTTTCCTTTAATACACGGAGAGTCAAAATGTGCAAGAATAAATGCAGCAGATGGGCAGGTCTCCATTTAAGACTTGATGACGATCCGCCACAAATGGAAGCTGATGAAAGATTAAATTGACTGAAAAGCAGAGCAAAGGATAAGATCTTCTTTCTGGTGTTTTTGATGCCTGTCCACTTGTTCCAGGCAACCTGAGCTGGCTGAGAGAGTGCTTGGACAACCGAGTGGGCGTGAACGGCTTAGACAAAGCTGGGAGCACAGCCTTGTACTGGGCTTGCCACGGGGGTCACAAAGGTACTGTGTGTCATTGGCGGTGACAAATCCCTGTGCTGCTGGGAAAAACAGTGTGTCACCTAAGGGAGCCAGAGTTACGAGAATGGAAACCCAACGATGCTGGTTATTCTTTCGGAATTCCCTAGAACTTCAGCCCAAAGCCTGGCTCCTGGAGGCCCTGCCGAGCAGCTTGCATCCTCGCCGTACATGCTGCTCCCTGGAAAGGCTGCAAAGTGCTTTTCTTTTTTCCTCTCAGGCTTAGAAAGTTTGCCAGAAAACAGAAGTACTTCAAACACAAATCCATTGTTTGAATCTTGCAGAGAAGGAAAGGGAAAATTTAGCTTGTCCCAAGACAGGTTTTTATGATTGGCGTTTTTTAATCTCTCCCTTACTTTTTCTTCCTCAAAGCTGGTGCTCTACCACTTGAGCCATGTTTCCACTTCCAGCTTTTTGTTGGATAATTGGAGATAAAGAGTCTCGATGACTTTTCTGCCCAGACAGGTTTTGAACCACAATCCTCAGATAGCAGCTTCCTGCATAGCTATTATACCCAGCTATGATATACATTTTAAGTTAAATGCAAGCAATTGACTTCAGAAGAAAGATGTTGTTGTCTTAAATTTATAATTCATTTGATGGTCTCTCTATGGAAATCAGTACAAATGACCAATTACATTTCTAGTTTGTTTTTTTTTAACATTGGCCCCAAATGTACCATACCAATCTTTCTATCTCTTTCTCTAACACAAAAAATACCAAACAAGAAAAAAAACAGAGCCCAACTAACTGAGTAGCCTACAGCACAGGGAAACTTGTGACTGCTTTCTCTCTCCAAAGAAAATCTGTCTTACTGTAGGTCACATGCAGATCATGTGAACTTGCAAGCAGCAAAACCATTTGTATATTTTTTCTCTGTAATTCTACTTCATAGATTCTTTTTTTCCCTGTGTATAGATGGTTTGGCAAATTTGTTACAAGAATTTGCTTGAAAATCTTCCTAAAAAAATCTTCTCTTGAAATATGATTGTGCCTACTTTCATCAGGTCTTGTATTTCTTGCTTAAAAAGCATCTTTTCTATTTGACTTTCAGATGTGGTGGAAGTTCTGTTTACTCAGTCCAATATTGAACTGAACCAGCAGGTGAGTCTGCTCACTGGGAAGGCTCTCCAGACACACCTGGCCAGTTGTGTTTGGGACAGGACAGCCTACGGCGTGCACAGAGTTTTAGTCAGAAAACTGTGAGCACCTAGGATTTGTTTCTTGTTACTTTTATTTTGTGTTGCTGTCTTGAGGATGCAACCCAGGGCTTCACACATGCTAAGGAAGCACCCTACCACGCAGTGACAGTCCCAGCCCTTCAAGCATATAAAAAGTATTATTATTTTAGTCTGTAAGTTGTTATTATAAAGGTGATGTACAGAGGGGTTATAATGTCATAAGTCAGGTAATGAATACATTTCTTTTTGGACAATGTCATCCCTTCCTTCACTCTGTTATTATTTTTAACATTCAAATTAGCCAATACCTCTGCAGATGTAGTTTGGCCTCCTGGTTGATTGGAGAAGGTTTAAGCTTGCTGATTGTGCCCTGATCTCATCTTACAGTATCCCAGCACTCCATGTGTCCACCCGTGCTCCTCCTGAAGTGTGTGATCCTAGGCTTGGATTATATTACCTAGGATAACACTGTCAAAATAATGGCCACTGCTTGTATAATTTCTTTCTTTCTTATTGTCTTCTGTTTATCTTTAAAGAATCTTATTCAGACTTTTATGTTTTATCCTCTCTTGGTATCCTTGTATAAAATGCTTAAGATAATCAGTGAGTTCCCAGAACCTCCCACCCTGAGCAACTTAGCCTCCACTGCCCGTTGCTACCTTCCCCTCTGTTCTGTGTTGTAGCTTCATTGTTCTGAGTCCTGTGTCTTTTTTGTCATGGAACATCTTTGGGTAGAGTCTTGAAAAAAGAGAAGGTTGAGATGGGTTATTTGGCTTGACACAAGTTTATATTCCTCAGTGCCCACTGCCCTGTGGGATTCTCATTTCGGGGGTTGTTTTTGAGAGGTTTGATGTTGGTTTGATTCTTTTTTATTTTTGAGTCCAGTCGTGGGGCCTGAACTCTGGGCCTGGGCGCTGTCCTTCAGCTCTTCAACTCAAGGCTAGCACTCTACCACTTGAGCGCCACAGCGCCACTTCTGGCTTTTTTCTTTTTGCTTATGTGGTGCTGAGGAATCGAACCCAGGGCCTCAGGCATGCAAGGCAAGTGCTCTACCACTGAGCCACCTTCCCAGATCCCTTGGTTTGATTCTTGTATTAGGCAGTTTTCTGTTACTATCATGAAATATCTGAGGCAGGTTACTCTATAATGAAAGGAGGTTTATTCAGCTAACAGTCCTAGAGATTCAAGGGCGTGGTGCCAGGATCAGTATGGCTGTGGTGACGACCTTAAGGTGGTTGGCATCATCATGGTGGGAGCATCTGAGAAGGACAGACCTCATTCCCAGATAGGAAGCCAGACTGACTACGGCATCTGTTCCTTGTAGGTTAGGATTCTAGGCATGCCATCGAGAGCATCTGAGCTCAGATTCTCAAGGGGAAGCCCAGATATCAACTGTGAGTGGGCTTCTTCCAGGCTCACTTAAGTCGTTGGGAAACTTGAGTTTCTTGCCTTGCAGTCCTGAGACCCTCTGCTTCCTCTCCATAGACAGTTCACACCAGGGCTGTTTACATTCTTGCTCAAGGTGGCTATAGGAGATGGGATGTCTGCCTCTGAATCTTTTTTGTTTTTTAACTAGTGAAGGACTAATGTATGATACGCCTATCTTTCCCAACCAAAAATCTGGTATTTCAGCAGCCTAGCGTTTCTCAGAGTAATTGCTCCTGTACTTTCCTCAGCTCCCCACATGCCTACGGAGCAGTGTGTTTGGGGAAACTCTATACTACTGTGTTCCTTTTTGATTAAGCAGATGTTTACTGAACCAGTTGTGAGTTAGTTAATGCACATTGAAGAGGATGTAGGTAGATTCAATGTAGAGAAGCAGATTAATCAATTAATTTTGCTTAATGTAGGTTGGAGGGGAAAAGGTAGGAATAGGAATTAATTCCTATTAATACGAATTTCTAAATAGGTTTGTACAGAGGATAAACAAAAAGGAGTTTGAGCTCTTATCCCTTAGCTCTTTCTACCAATAGATTCTGCAGTCACTAGCTCTTGTTTGTCAGGAACAATTCTGGCCCATTTGACCAAACCAAAATAACATATTATGGGGCTGGGAACGTGGCTTAGTGGTAGGGTGCTTGCTCTGCATGCATGAGGCCCTGGGTTCAATTCATCAGCACCACATAAGGAGAAAAAGACGGAAGTGGCACTGTGGCTCAAGTGGTAGAGCACTAACCTTGAGCTGAAGAGCTGAGGGACAGTGCCCAGGCCCAGAGTTCAGGCCCCATGACCAGCAAAATATAAAAATTAAAACATTAAAAAATGCATATTATGGACATCTTTCCCCCCAATATTAAGTTTATTTTGTTTACCATTTTTAATGTTTAATTTTAATTGTAAAGGTGATGTACAGAGGGGTTACAGTTATGTTAGGTAATGAGTACATTTCTTTTTGAACAGTGTCACAACCTCCCTCATTTTTCTCCCAGTTTTTTTTTCCTCCCTCCTTCCCTACCCCCCAAGTTGTATAGTTCATTTCCAACATAGTATCTAGTGACTATCACTATTGACTTATTTCATCTTGTGTCTCACCATTTCTGTGCTTTCCCTTCCCCTCCCTAAATCAGATAAACTTACACACAAGACAAAGGGTGCAGAAATCAAGAACAGCAACAAAAGGAAAATAAACAGAAGGGGGGGAAAAGACCCACAAACAGTACAATAAAAAGCCATTTCTTGGAGTTACATTTCTTGGAGTTCCTTTCAATAAGCATCATTTCATGTGATCATAGGCACCTAGCTGTTGACATGTTTAAGCAGTTTCTTGCTATCTTATTTCTGTTTCCTCATCCCACTCCAGTGTCTCCAGGATGATGCATTCTGGATTCTTGCTGGGTTTCTGTACAGGCCAACCAAGCAGCTTCCTCCTGCTGTCTCTCTCCGCTGCCATCTGCATTTCATTCTGAACTTCCGCCATGTTGCTTTCCACCCTTCCTCCCAGGCCTTCCATCTCCCCACATCATTCCCTGTTCTCCTTAGAACTTTACCACTCAGTGTTCTCACTTCAGGCTTGATGAGAGTAGATCTAACGTCTCCATTCAAGCCACTCCCTCGTTTTCAAATGTCCCTTGCTCTCTCTGCCACCACAGAACAAGCTGGGGGACACGGCTTTGCATGCTGCCGCCTGGAAGGGCTATGCCGACATTGTCCAGTTGCTTCTGGCAAAAGGTAAAGGTGGTGCTGAGTTGATCTGGCCTTGGCTTACTGGGAAAGATAGACTCCATCTAGTCATACCGTTCGCAATAGTAGGAAGGTGATCACCTCCTTATTTGAAACTGGGAATTTGAAACTGTTTATATCATAGAGTTGTTTTTGTTGAGTGAACTTCTGTACTTTTTGACCTTTGTGTCAATATATTTCTAGATTCTGAAGTAATTTTATCACAAAGACAAGAGTGGGTGGTGGAGTTCTCCCTTGAACAGTGAGTTAGGCAACTAGTTTCCTCTGGGAATGTATTACAAAAGAGTATACCTAAAGATGTAAAATAGCCCCTCAAACTCAGCCCCAGGGTGTGTGTTTGTGTGTGTGTGTGCATACGCCCGCATGCCAGTACTGAAATTTGAACTTGGAGTCATGAGCTCTCACTTGGCTTTTCTGCTCAAGGCTGATGCTCTACCCCTTGAGCCACATCGCTACTTCCAGCGTTTTGCTGGTTAATTGGAGATAAGATTTTCATGGACTTTTCTGCCCCAGCTGGCTTCAAACCAAACCACAGTCCTTAGATCTCAGCCTCCTGAATAGCGAGGACTACAAGCATGAGCCACCACTACCCCGCTGCCAGCAGTCAAAGATGTGTCTTTGGAATTCACAGATTCCTGCTCAGATGCACATACCTTCTAGTGTGTGGGTACATGGTTTAGGGCTTGCCAAGGGTGTGATAAACACATCCCCGAAAGTAGTCCTGTAGGGACTAGAAGGGAAAGCCTCTTTTAATGGAGCATATACTTCCACAGGTACAGCAAGAAGCTATTTGGCTATTCACGCCAAATACTGTTTAGTCCTAGGCCCCAATTGTTCGCTAGTTTGATAGCCTTGGTGGAATAAGCATTGACTCCTGCTATACACTCTTGAAAGACGACTGACTTTTTCTTGTGTTGGGAAGGTGCCAGGACAGACTTGAGAAACAATGAGAAGAAGCTGGCCCTGGACATGGCCACGAATGCGGCCTGTGCGTCTCTCCTGAAAAAGAAGCAGGGAACAGGTATTTACTTTTTCAGTTCTTTCTCTGTATATTCTAAGGCTTATTAGGTCACACTGGGAAGATTTTTTTCTTGGTAAATTCTTTAGATGATTCTGAACTTTGATTTATACATCCTTGTTCTAACCCAGAACCTCCAAAGTTGAAGAACACCCAGACACAGACAGAAATCTGGAGAAATATAAAGACCTTCCACCCTGTTCTTGTCTCTTTTGTTCCTTGTAAGCTATGTCTTCTCACCTTGTTCTTCATAGTAGTCCATTCTGGAGATCCAACTCCTTTCCCCTGGTCTAGAAAAGTTCTTAGGAGTAGTTTTGACTATATGTTGTTCAAATTGAGCATCTCATGGCTCCATGGTTATATTTTGCCTCTAATTTAAACAAGGATACTTGTAAATTTTATTTTAAAGGATTCTAGATTTTGTTAAACATTTTGGACTTTGTGTGTGTGTGTGTGTGTGTGTGTGTGGCAATACTGGGTGCTGTCCCTGAAGCTCTTCAGCTCCAGGCTAGCACTCTACCACTTGAGCCACAGCACCACTTCTGGTTTTTTGGTGGTTTATTGGAGATAAGAGTCTCATGGACTTTCCTGCCCAGGCTGGCTTTGACTCATGATCCCAGATCTCAGCCTCTTGAGTAGCTAGGATTACTTTTTCTACATTTTTAGTGGTTTTCAATACATTTTCATACATGAATATAATGTACTTTGATCATATTAATGCTCCCTATTCAGGGATGGTTTTAAAAGGTACATGCCTTTTTAATTTAAAAAAAATTGGGGTGCCAGTACTAGGGCTTGAAATGAGGAGGGCCTTTAGTTCTTGCTTAGCTCTTCTGTTCTCAGAGTGGGAGAGTATGTGAGGAAAAAAAATACAGAAGCTCTTGTGGTTGCTTTGAAAGAAAAGTGTTAAGACGCAATGACTCACTTGTGATGATTATTCATGCAAGCTGTTTATTGACCTCTCTGCATGTAACTAGTGAAGGTGTCTTCCCTCAGTTATTCTGATGAATTCAGCAAGGACCTGTCTTGAACTACTGTTCATTTACTTCTCCCTCCCCGTACCACATTCATCATCAACCTCCTGGCCCATTCATTGCCAAGTCCAAGGGGTGAAAGCAGAGAAAGGTTTGAACAGAGGGGACATTAAATACCCCTTCATTTTACTTCTCAGACCTTGCTCCTTTAATGTTTGACACTTGGATACCCATTAAAATGTAAACGAACAGTAGTACATTATGGTCACAATTTTCTAGGAAGAAACTGGTGTCATAGAAGGGGTACTTTTTGCAAATCTTTACGTGGGTGTTCATTATGCCGGGCCTTCTTTAATGGTCTAAAGTTCAGCTGATCCATATTGATACAGAATTACCAAAAAGAACAGAATATATATCCAAAGAGGTAAAGGACATTTGTTTTCTTGGGTTTTTCCCCCCTCTTACTTATCATATTGGGGCTTGAACTTGGGGACTCATACTTATTAGACGATCTACTGCTTGAACTACACTCCCCAGCCTTTTCTTTTTGCTTTAGTTATGCTTCAGATTTAGTATCATGTTTTTTTCCTCGAGCCTGGTCTTGGACCAAGATTCTCCTACCTATGACTCCCACATAGCAGGGATTGCAGGTGTACACCAGCTACCACATCTGACACGTTTTCTTGTTGAGAGTTCATTTGTATAATGGAATACTGATTACATTTTGAATTAATTTTTGGACCATCGATCTCTAATATTTCTTGTTTTATCGGAAGAACCACATTTTTTTAAAATATAATTTTATCGTTTGTTATTAAGATGTTGTCCAGAGGGGTTACCGTTTCATAAGTTAGGTAATAAGTACGTTTCTTTTTTACCCTTCCTTTGCTTTCTCCCAGTTTCCCCTCCCATTGCTGCTCACAAGTTGCATAAGTCATTTTCCACATAGCATGAATATGAATAGCGTGATTGCATTTGTTCGCCCTTCTTCCCTCCCTTTCTACAACAGATGTTTTTTACTATCTCTTATTCAGTTGCTAGCAGAAGCAGCAAAATAGAAAAAGGCCCTTAGGCTCCTGCTTTAGTCCATCACAAGAAATAAACAGTTCTCTTCATGATTTGCCAAAGGAGCCTCCCAGAATTCATCTCTGTACTTGCTACCAAATTCCCATTGTAGACCTCCAGGAATCCCTTGTTTCTTTTGTCTTTTCTTCCAGATCTATCTTTGCCCTGCATTTTAATTTTACTCTTCCACTTTACTTCAGATGTAGAGTAAACCACTTACCAGTCTGAGATTTCTCATTCAAGCCCTGATTAATGCTCACTGCCAGAGTCAATCTTCTTTGATTATCCCTTCCTGGACACGGTTTCTCCTAAGAGAAAGAAAAGCATTTATCGGCTGAACTGGTGCTGCCCAGAGCCATTTTATTGGGAAGCCATATTTGCAGCTGTGTGGAGAGATACTCTAGCTTGAAGTTGGCCTCCCTGCCCCTCTCCCCACCCCAACTCCTCCTTGCTGCTTTGGTTGGGTTAGCAAGAAGGGACTGTGGCCCAACTTCCTTTCTCTGCCACTAACTTCCTGTGGCTAGACAAATACTCCCAAAAGTCTTGAGCAAGGAGTTAGGTTCTTCCAAGCTAAAGCATCTCAGAGTCTTATGCGTATCGTATTCTTGATCAGGATACACAAGGACTGTATCCAGTCCTGACTTGCTGGGAAGTGGGTTAAATTTGTGTTAATTGCATCATGGATTTATTAATGAGACAATCTCAGGGTCTGGCAGACAGTGCCCAGAAATGAACCTTCATATTTCAGATTTCATGCTATTTTTTTCCTTGCTTTATTCCCTCAATCATCCAATTTAAAATTTTAAAATTCATATTATGATCATAGGTGGATGCAGGTTGTATGTACCATTTGGCCATGTCCTCCAGCTTGAACTCTAATCTAGAAATGGTATAATTGGATATTATTTGATAAAAACCAATTTTCTTATTATCTTTTCTCAGGACAAAAAACTTACAGATTGTGATTATCATGAAGGATTACTTTGGGATGGAGGAGTGGAGGCCAGGGTCGTACTTAACAGCTGAGCCCCTTAAATTAAAAAAAATATAATTAACATTAAGTAAAGCACAAATGTCAGATGTCTAGCTAGATAAATCGTTTTCCTTACCACATGTACCCGTGTACCCAAACATGTGTCTAGCTGGAGAACATTCCCACACACAAGTAGTCAAATATGGTACACTCTGTCAGTCACCATAGATTGTTTTTGGGTAGCTAGGATTATAGGTACGAGCCACTGGGTGCCTGGCTGTGCCTGATACTTTTCACGTTATCTATGTGACTGTGTCTGTCCTTCTGCCACTTAATTATCCTTTGTTGGCTTATGAGCTTGTTTGTGTAAGTGCTGACCTTTGAGGAGCTTGTGGCTGAGGGGGGATGGACATGAGGAGAGGATCATGGGAATGCTGCTAAGCCATGTGTTGCCTTGCTGGCTGCACATCAGTGGACAGTGGAGACACTCAGTCAATGCGTTGTCTACACTTGCGCACCACCCAGCACATTTACCTAAGCGTTTGTAAGCTAAATCTAGTTTCTACATAGAAGGGAAGCCATACATCCTTTGTCTCTAGGCCCAAGTTACTTCACTTAACATAATTTTTCCAAGTCTTTCCATTTCTTGACAAATGATACAATAGCATTCTTTCTAGTGGATGAGTAAAATTCTATTGTGTGTGTGTGTGTGTTGTGTATGTGAGTATCACATTTTCTTTATCCATTCAAGAATTTGACCAGGTAGTTGAACAGATGACAGTAAAAGAGGAGCTGTCTTCCTTTTGACACTCATTCAGGGTGTCTTTACCATTTGATTAGTGCAACTATTTCTATTTTTAAACCTTTAACAAATTAGCACACATGAGCTGTACAGGAGGAATTTCACAGTGACATTCGCACACATGTGTGCAGTGTATCCCTCAGCCTTTCCACCCTTCTCTTATTCTCTTGCCATCGTAAATGTTCTTTTCTAAGTTTCCATCGTTTACTTGTGAGAATACTTTGATTTCAAGTTGTTGTAGAATGAAAGTGAACTTTAGATGTTTTCATCTATTCTCTTTCTCTCTACCCAGTAACATTGTCTCGAGGTAAGGGCTCAGGTTGTGGGCAGACTGGGCCACAAATACCTTTGTCCCCGGGCGGGAGGATGTGGGGAACTCCACTGTCACAGCAGAGTGACTCTGGTGTCCTGGTGTCATGGTGTGTGTGGCTGATCACTTTGCGCTAGAAATGGACTCACAGTGCTTCACTGCCCCACATGGATAAGAAGAGGTAGACACATTTATTCGTCAGGCTCTCCACTGGCAGAAACTTAGTTTCTTAAAAGCAAACACAGGAAGATCTCAGGGAAAATATTATCCCCGCTTCTAGGAGAAGATTGCAGTTTGTTAAATTGAAGGGGGAAAAAATGGAAGCAATTTGTACGTTCTGTGTTTTACCTTCTCTCCCTGTTCTTTTAGATGCAGTTCGAACATTAAGCAATGCTGAGGACTACCTTGATGATGAAGACTCAGATTAACTCCCTGCTGGAGCTTTGACATCTAGAACTTCTTTTGCTTTTGCCATTCCAAAACTTAGTTTTTGCCGGAAGAGTATTGATAACTGTAAAAACAAAAGTGTCTATATAGACATGGCAGTATTGCACTGTGAATAGGACCTGTAAGTGGATGTCTCACCTTTGTTTTGCCAATAAGTGATGGAAAACTTTGCTTTGTAAAATACATTTATATTCACCAGAGTAGAACAAGAAGAGATTATTTCTATTTATCAAGCTAAAGGAATTTTAAGAATATTTTGCCTTAAAAAAATCAGGATCTCTCTCTCTCTCTCTCTCTTTTTTCTTTCTGTTTCATTCAAGTTCTTTACCTCAAGGATTGGGATCTCTTGAATGGATTTTTAAAAGGGGGGATGCTTGTTATAATAACAGACCAAAATACTTAATAGAAAATTGTCAGCTGTTCTGACAGAAATAAACATTTTAAGAGACTTTATTCCTTTTGGGTGTTTTTGCGTCATCATTCATGGTTAGTAAATGGAGCCCACTCTTTATACTGAAATGAGAACTGGTTTGTGTTTTTTAAATTGCCTTTTATATTAGTACAGAAGAACCATGCTAGCGATGTTTAAGGCCACCTTCCTGTATCTGTTTTGATTAATCAAGACAGTAACCAATGAGAAGATGACTATATAGTGAAGTATATAATTTGAATAATTCTGAGATGTTTAGTTTTATTTCTCAGGTTATAGAGTGAGGAAACTCAGTAACTTGTTACAGTTTGCTTAATTGAAAAGTTAAACATGTTAATATCCTAAAAAAAAAAAGCTGCCCTCATTTTCCATAGGAAAAAGTTGAGTCATGCCTTTTTTCATATACATTATTTTCTCTTGCCACATTCCTTTTCTCACAATGCAGGTCTAGCCTGTAACAGTTCAGACTCTTTTGCTGAATTAATGAACCTGGCAGGAAACCCTGTGTAGTAATGACTGACGCTTCATTTGTGCTTCTGATTTTGTGTTTCTGCAGTGATGATGTTAAAAATGTCACACCCACGATACATTCGCCTGTTTTCTCCACTCTAGGCCCAGAAGTACTTTGGCAAGTAGACTTCAATGCTAAGTTCACAAATTACATTGGTGAAGAGAAGGAAGTGTTTGAAGCAGGAAGTGGTTCAGCTCAGGAAATGAGTATCTGCCTCTGTAAGAGTTTCTTTTGTCTATGACTGGCCTTTCTGTGTGTCTTGAGAAGGGACACCAAGAGAAGCCAGTGAAGGCCTTTTAAATACGCGCCCCCCCCCCCCCCCGAACTCTAGTAGATATGGAAATAGCCCCACTGGACTCTAGTAGATAGGGAATCTGAACATATTTTGACACCAAAGGATGAGCTTAGAGTCAGGAACTAATCAAAAGAGAATATTCTAAAATAAACAAGTTATTAAGTTTGGCTTAATTTATTTTTCATCCTAAGAGCACACTGGAAGATAGATGTAAAATCCTTTTTGAAACTAAGGATTATTCTTTTAAAAACAGGGCTGTGTCTATGGGAAAAGATTTTGGAGAGTCTTGTGATTTTTTTATTCTTCTCTACTTTGCACCTGTAGGTAATTAAAGAACTCGTGTGTGTGTGTGTGTGTGTGTGTGTGTGTGTGTGTGTGTGTGTGTGTGCTGATACTGGGTTTTGAACTCAGGGTTTGGGGCTGACCCTTAGTTGGTGTTTTACCATTTGTGCTTCAGCTCCATTTCTGGCTTTTTTTCCCTCCCCTTTGGAGGTTAAATAAAGATAAGGGTCTCCTTAAAGATAAGGATTCTTCTAAGTTTACCAGTTATATACGTTTCTGGGGAAGCACCACAGCTTGTTTAGTTGTGTTTGAAACTCCATGGGACTTTTCTTTCTTCTTGTTTGTTCAGCCTGGCAGATCAGAGTTTCCTCTCAGATTGTTTAATGCCGAAGTCAGCAGCAAAACCCCATTCTGGGAACTTGCCACTCCTCTGATTGTACAAGGTCAGCTGTGGTTATGTTCTGGAAATGATTGGAGGTTTTGTTGTAATCTGAACTTTCTGACAGTCATGGTAGTAGAATGCTGCCCTAGCTGTTGCATTCTGGCCTCTCAGACAGTAAGATACTGGCCCAGCTGTGTGTCCCAAAGCATCTTGCATATTCCAGTTTTAGTTTCCTCTGGGGTTGAGTCTGTTGTAATTTTTTTTTTTGTATTGTGAAGATGGGGTTACAGTTACGTGAGTAAGGTGATGAGTACAGTTCCTATCTAGTATTGGAGCATTGTTACCCCTCCTTTGTTTTTTTTCCCTACTATCCCTTCCCTCCTCCACCTCCCTCACTCCTCCGAAATTGTAAAGTTCATTTCCAACATAGTGTCTTAAATGTATATAAAGATTCAGGGTACCAAAATTAAGTACAGTGACAACAGGGGATATACCATGGGGGAAAAAACATATAAAAGAAACAAAAACAATCCTATAGTACATTAAAAAACAACAACAAAGGAAAACCTCTTGTGTCCATATCTTAGGGTTGAGTTCGCTTAGCATCATCTTATATGGTCATATGTACATAGCTTTTGAGCTTTTTTGCTCATCTGATAAGATTATACTGGACATATACTTGTTATTGGAAGTAAGGGAAACCATGGGTCTGGCTGAATTCACTTAATATGATTTTTTTCCAAGTCTTTCCATTTCCTAGCAAATGGGGTGGGGTCATTCTTCCTGATGGAGGCATAGAACTCCATTATATATATGAGACACATTTTCTTGATCTATTCATCTACTGAGGGGCATCTGGGTTGGTCTGGATTTTTTTTTAATGTTCCTCACTGGCTCCTTTTAGAAATAGATTGTTACTGCTGTTACTCCCCAAAGGCTTTGCCCACCTTCCCTTCCCTCCCTCCCTCCTTCCCTCCCTCGTTCCTTCCTTCCTTCCTTCCTTCCTTCCTTCCTTCCTTCCTTCCTTCCTTCCTTCCTTCCTACCTTCCTTTCCTCCTTCCTTCCTTCCTTTCTCTTTCTTATTCCTTTCTTTTCTTTTTTCTTTCTTCCTTTCTTTCTTTCCATCTGTCTTTCTTAACAATTGGAAAGCTGCAAGCTGGTGGCTTACACCTGTAATCCTAGCTACTCAGGAGGCAGAGAACTAAGGATCACAGTTTGAACCATCCCAGGATGAATGGTGAGACTCTTATCTCCAATTAACTACCATAAAACTGGAAATGGAAGTGTGGCTCAAGTGGTAGAGGACTAGCCTTGTGCAGAAAAGCTCAAGGACAGTACCTAGGCCCTGAGTTCAAGCTTAGTACTAGCATGCACATGTGTGCATGTACACACACACACACACACACCTGGAAATAGTGCTGAAAATGAAATTTCATATAATTTGAAGTAGAAGAAAATGCAATTTTTTTCTTATAACGTGTGTGTGTGTGTGTGTGTGTGTGTGTGTGTGTGTGTGTGTGTGTGTGTGTGTGTGCCTGTGAGTACTAGGCTTGAACTCAGGGCTTTGTGCTCTTGCTTGGCTTTTTTGCTCAAGAGTGGTACTCCATCTTGAATTTATCTAGCCAGGCTGGCTCTGAACTGAGATTTTCAGCCTCCTGAGTAGCCACAGTTACAGGAGCGAGCCACGGGTTCCTGGATAAGTCTTCTTTGCCAATGTTAGGTTTTATGTGCATATTCACTTATTGCTTGAGACACATTGCCCTCATTGCTGAGATCCTCCTACTCAGCCTCCTGAGTGGTGTGATGGCCACGCGTCACTATGGCTGAGTAGAAACAGTCTGTACGAGTGACATTTATGATTTACTGCTTTATTTTGAGGCGCACTGTGCCTCTCATATACATTGTGGTTTCTTTTCTAGTAGGCTGTAGAACATAACTTTTACATATGTTCATCTACATTTCTCTTCTGTCTTTGATTTCTCTTTGATTTCTTTTCACCAGATTTTTAAAAATTGTACATATGTCTGTGGCAGTAATAACAGAGCAGGAATCCATTCCGTAGCCAAACTTCAAGGTCTCAAATATCTCAAATTTAAGGTTTTGGTTCAAGAAGGAGTGTTCATGATAATGCAGCCAATCCCTGTTTTAATTGCAGGTTATAGCTTAGGAGAGCGAACATTTTTCTCTAGGGAAAATTGTAGCTCACAGATTTTTGGTTCCTTCTTATTTCTTAATTCCATGCCTTTCTATCTGACCCTCCTTTAAAATGACCTAAAATTAAGTAAAAATACTACTTATTTAATGCCGCCCCTGCCTATTCCTGTACTCAGCATTTTTACCAACATCATGTCATCCGAGCATTACCACTGCCCAGGAAGAATATTAACATCTCCATCTGTTTACAGAGAGGCTGAAGCTTGGAGAAGTTAAGGAACTGTGTCAAGGCCATCCTGCTTAAATGGACATGTGGATCTGGGGAAGTCTTAGTCCATGCACCTGCCACATTCTATGAGAAAATCTTGTAGAACAGAGAGTTCCTCTTCCAGTTCAACCCCAAACACAGGCATGTGATCAACCCAGCCAGGGTGACAGTCAATCATGTAAACCAACCTCAAGAACTTCTATAAAAATCTTGGGGGTCACCTCCACCATCCCAAGAAAGATTTTTGGCAAAACACCTTTGTTTCTAGTCACGTTAAATGAGTACTATTTAACCAGGTTTTCCCTTCAAGTATAGGAAGCTTCTGATCATTCTTTAAAGCAAGAGAGCTTAGAATAACTTTGACCCTACATGGCTGAGTTCAGAGTTGTCCTGCCCAGTCTGCAGCCCTCATACATTTCCATGCAAATGTGGATCCTTCCCCTCCCCAGGAAGGGTTGGTGAGAGTCCCAGTTTGGTTGCAGGTTGTGGACATTGAAGGAACCTCTCTTTTCAGATGCTTCTGCTCTTGTCTCTATCCAGGGGCCATCTGCTTGGGTTTCTTTCCCAGGAAGCTCAAATTCCCACCTAAGCGTTTACCCATCTGCAGACTGGGAGCTGGTAGGGGGCCAAGTCCTGGCTGTGGCTGCACGGGACAATTGAGACCGTCCAAGGGGAATGCATGGGGTAGCCGAGAGGAAGCAGGAAGGAAGAGGCTCCAGGGAAGGCTGAGCAGCAAAGAGGATGCGATCACCTTCCTTGGTTCTGATAGAAGCCGTTAGGATGCTTCAAGATGTGGCTAAGATCACAGGCTTCAACGTCATTCAAGTCTTGCTGCTTATTGGTGCATGATTTTGAAGCGGGCTACATAAACACTGATTCTTTTCCTAAAAATGGAGAAGCAGCAGTATCTACTGCCTAGACTTATTTTTAAACTTCATTTATTATTATTATTATTATAAAGGTGAGGTACAAAGGGGTTCTGTCTATACTTCTGAAGATTAAATGCGATGATTCGTGTAAAGGACTGAATTGCTTAGTGATTACTTAATAAGTCTTGTTTATAATAATGAGGGTAAATACAGTTTTCATGAAAAGTAAACTGGCGTATATGCATCACTTAATGTTTTGAAA